ATCATCATCACTACCACTACCATCATCATCATCACTACCATCATCATCATCAGTAGTATAACCCACTCAGAACCACTCAAACGGACCTTTGTTTTTTTTATATAAAGCTTCATTTGGATTATTTTATAAAAATAAACATCCTGACCCAGAAGACTGACCCAGYCCTGGTCCAAACACAAAAGTAAGGTCCAGGGGCCAGATGTGGCCCTGAAACCTCGTCAGTCCGGTCCTCATAAAAAATAAAACTAGAAATATAACTTTTTTTTTCTTTCTTCACTCTAATCAAAACAAACGTCTGATAATCTGTTGTTCTCCTGTGGATTATTGATTATTAATAATCTAATTTAGAACAACTCCTCAGTGTTGTAACGAATCAGTCAGATCAAAACCTCCATCAGTAATAAAAGCAGAGGTTCCTGAATCCAGATGAGAACATCCAGATGTTGAAGGAATGACTCACAGCCTCCTCCACAGGAACACATTCATTTAGTTTTCTTTTCAGCCAGGATCAAAGCTGCAGAAAAACACAGCAACAAAAGAGGCAAATGATTCGTGTGAGGCCGAGTTTAGAGCGGAGAAAGGTCGGCTAATATCCCCGCAGCCGAAGCATTAAAGGGAATTAGCTGAAGGCTGGGGCCGGTGGAATAAAAAGGGAAGGAGGAGATATTAGAGCTGAACAAAGAGCAGCTTCTAAACGTCCACAGGTTCGAGCAGCCCGGCTCACTTTTTATTCTATAAAATAAAAGCCTTAAAGGACACCTATTCACTCAGTGCTGCAGAATAGTTTCTGCCTCCACAATAAAAGGTTGGAACCTTAAACACAGGATGTTACAAAAGAAAGAGAAAAACTAATGTTCCACATGAAAAGAGCTTTGATTCTTTTATTCTTAGTCAGAATCCATGTTCCTAAAACACAGCTGGAGCAGCTTCAATACAGGCAGAGTTATCAACAGTTAGCATCTTACCTGCTGCACATGTAAAATGATCCGTTAACCTCTCCTTCATTTAAAGGAGGTGTAGATGATAAAATAATTTAAACTATAAACCCACAGAGTTCTGCTCAAACCCAACATCCAGACCTGAACATCAAGACCCCCTCAGGAGGAACCAGGTACTCACCACCTGAGTGGGTCTGAGGGAGTCTCCATCAAAGTGTGTGAGGCTGGAGCTGTCCTCTGGAAACCCATCACAGTCCTCCAGCTCCTGGGAGGTACAGGGAGGCTGGTCCCGGTCCAGGTTTCCACTCTGCTGGGAGAGGAGGAGGACAGGAGGAGCAGAGGAGAGGACAGGAGGAGCAGAGGAGAGGAGGAGGACAGGAGGAGCAGAGGAGAGGAAAGAAGCAGAGGAGGACAGGAGGAGCAGAGGAGGACAGGAGGAACACAGGAGAGGAGGACAGGAGGAGCAGAGGAGAGGAGGAGGACAGGAGGAAGAGAAGAGGAAAGGAGGAGCAGAGGAGGACAAGAGGAGAGGAGGAGCAGCTTTTGATGAGAATCATCAGAAATATTTGACTTCACAGTTAAACTGTATTTTCCAACACGTCCTGCTGGATTATTTTAGTCCAGATTACAGCAGGTCTCAGGGGATTAGGTATGGTCCTGGACTCAGAGTCTCACCAGGTCTTCAGAGGTCAGGTGGGTCAGTCTGTCGTGGATCAGGGCGGCCTGCTCGTCACTCATCACCAGCTCTCCCTTCTTGTTTCCCATCACCAGCTCAGACCACATGGATCCCTCACTGAGCTTCTGCAGACTCAGCTCCAGACTGAGACAGAAACAAGAAATACAGTTTAACTCCACCTGAAGATGAGATGATTCACAGCTGAAGATGAGAAGATTTACAGCTGAAGATGAGACGATTTACAGCTGAAGATGAGAAGTTTTACAGCTGAAGATGAGAAGATTTACAGCTGAAGATGAGAAGATTCACAGCTGAAGATGAGATGATTCACAGCTGAAGATGAGATGATTTACAGCTGAAGATGAGATGTTTTACAGCTGAAGATGAGACGATTTACAGCTGAAGATGAGACGATTTACAGCTGAAGATGAGAAGATTTACAGCTGAAGATGAGAAGATTTACAGCTGAAGATGAGAAGATTTACAGCTGAAGATGAGAAGATTCACAGCTGAAGATGAGATGATTTCCAGCTGAAGATGAGATGATTTCCAGCTGAAGATGAGATGATTTCCAGCTGAAGATGAGATGATTTCCAGCTGAAGATGAGATGATTTCTAGCTGAAGATGAGATGTTTTACAGCTGAAGATGAGAAGATTTACAGCTTGGATGGAAACACAGCTACTGTTATTAATGTGAACTCTGCTGTGAAAGCAGAAGAGCAGTTTTATTATCAGCTCTGAGCTGCTCTGAATGATGAGCATCAGTCTTTATTAAACCTGAATACATTTCAATAAAATTATAATCCCATTATGTTCCAGTCAGTTGTGAGGTGAAAACACTCCACATGTGGTTCTAATGAACAGAACCAACCCTGCATCGGGTTTAAGACTTAATATGAGGTTAGAGATAGGAAATGTCCCCTATGCTTGTCCTCTGGAGGACCGAGTGGACACCTGTGTCCCGTGGTTCTGTCTGAATGTGTTCAGCATCCAAACCAGCAGAATGATTGATGCTGACAGCTCTTATTGATAAGAAAACCACACAAAGAATAAAAAATAATAAAACTAAAGCTCCATCTCCAACAACAGAAGACAGAACTCCTCCTCCTCCTCCTCTCAGAGACAGAAGGTGAGTGGTGCAGATAATCATCTGGCTGAATAAAGCAGAGCTGGTCTCAGGGTGGAGGAAGTGACTCAGATCAAAAACAGGATTCAGAAAAAACAGAACAATTTATTTTTAATGAAACCAGAGTCTGATCATCAATACAGACCGAGAGGCTCAAAACACAGCTAGATGTTCTCATCCTCAGGTTTAAAAACAATAAACACGTTTGTTGATGGAAGCAGAAAACTGTCCTGACGTCCCAGAGTCTCAGATAAAAACGAAACATCTGCCTCGTCCAGGGTCAGGAGAGAACGGAGCGTCCAGGTTCAAATCAGCAAACAGAGATAATCTGACACCTGATGGAGCAGTTAGAGGTCTGGATTAGTCACAGGATGACTGGACTGGAGAGGATTATCTGCACTGAGACGGTCCAGACCAGCTGAAAACTAACCGAGACTAGTTTGAAACTAACTGAAGACAGGTTAGAGATTAACTGAGACTAGTTAGAGACTAGTTTAAGAACAACTGAAACTAAGCAGAGACTAGTTAGACTAATTTGAGATCAACTTAGACTAACTGGAGACTAGTTTAATAACAACTGAGACTAAATGGAGACTAGTTAGAGACTAGCTTGAGATAAACTTAGACTAACTGGAGACTAGTTTAAGAAATGAGACTAACTGGAGACTAGTTAGACACTAGTTTAAGAAAAACTGAGACTAACTGGAGACTAGTTTAAGAACAACAGACCAAATGGAGACTAGTTTAAGAACTGAGACTAACCGGAGACTAGTTTAAGAACTGAGACTAACTGGAGACTAGTTAGAGACTAGCTGAAGACTAACTCAACCCTCAAACATCTTGTGGAAGGTAAGTAGCTTGTCTGTTCTTCCACAACTCGGAGAAATAAACTAAGACAACTGTAGATGGAAACATAACAGCTAAAATTCAAACTTTTCTTTGGTTTCAGCCCCTGGAACGCTGACCTTTTATCATTTTTGATGATCCAGGCGCTGGCCTCGGGGTCCACAGATGCGTAGAGCTGGCCTTCCAAAATCGGGGGGAAACCCCGAACTCCAACACTCAAGCGGTCCGCCGTCAGCTGGAAGAGAACATCATCGCTGGTGAAGCCTTCAGGCATTCGTACACAGACGGTGATGTCCTCTGATGTCTGCTGCCAGAAGTAGAGCGGATCTGAAATCCAGAACAGACTGGGCCTAAGTTCTGATCCTGATAGATTTTGAACTACAACAGATTTATGAAACAGCCAACTACCACATTCAATCAGAAGCTAACTCTCTCTACCTACCTACCTATCTACCTCTTCAAACAGCTAGCTGGTTTTAGTTTTTCTGCCATAATACATTTTGGGGTTTGAAAGCCACTGGCTATATTTTCTTAATATGACGTCCCAGAGGTTTATAAACCCCAAAACACAGTATGGCAAAGACTAGTTCACCCCAAAGTTCCGGTCCCCCGGAATAATGTTGTGTATGCTGTTTAGTGCCAGAAGGACTATGATCAGTTTTACATCAAGGAAACAAATCAGCCATTGTTCAAAAGAATGGGCCAACACAGACTAACATCATCAGGTCAGGACTCTACAGTCTACACTCATCTACAGGTCAGGACTCTACAGTCTACACTCATCTACAGACAAGGACACTACAGTCTACATTCATCTACATGC